TTACAGCCATACATGTACCTGATCTCGTCTTATGCGGTGCCCCTATCTCCTTCCCCTCTTAGAGGATGTACCTGATCTCGTCTTATGCGGTGCCCCTATCTCGTTCCCCTCTTAGAGGAAGTTCTGACAAACAAATACCGCACGGATGTATATCGTTTCAAAAGAGCATGTATTGACGTACATGAAAGCCGTCACTCATATATATATATAGATATAGATATATATATATATGTATTTGTATATCTGTGCGTGTGTGTGTGTGTGTGCGTGTGTGTGTGTATGATGAAGATATCTGCTTGCATGCGCCAAGCACGCACGTGAGCGCGCAGGTATGTATGGTATGCATGTGGGTATGTATGTACACACCACCATAACAACCACGCATGCCCAGTGGCCTTTGCTGGATATCAGAGCTCAAGTCTGGTGCGAAGGCGCCCAGAATCGCCATCCTCAGAAGAAGACAGGGCTTCGGGCCTCATGCCTCATGGGCCCGGGCGCCCTGAAAAGTAGCGCCATACGTCCTACAGACGCCGGCTAAATTTCGATTGTAAGGTTGTACCCGGTACCCAATGGCACCAGGCTTGCCGTATTCTGAATTGGGCCCCGGACCAACCGTCATCAGTTAATACGATAAAGCCACAAAAGCCCCTAAGCATGCAATGACCAGGTACGATTTAAACCCTTCACCCAAGACCGTCAACCCTTGAACCTAGGCCCTTGGCCCTTTCTACCAAAACATATGCAAAGCACAAGAATCTTGTTACACTCTCTGTCAAAAGACCAACAACAAACAGCAGGCATAACAGTAGCAATAGTACTACGTGAATAGCCATGGAAACAGGGGAACAACAACAATACCCAACCTTGGAGAAAGTAACAACAATAGAAACACGAAGAGTAGCGGAGTCGTAGCCGTAGAAGAAGTAGTAGTAATAGCAAGGGAACATGATCTTAACCTCCGGGGAACTTGGCAAGCTGCCGAAAGCCACAAGGTGGTGCTTGCTCTCGGGGGGTGTGGGAATGGGTGGGGGGGGGGGGGAGACTAGTCACCATCACTAGATGACTCCATTCACTTCCCATACATAATACAAGGCTATAGAACGGGAGGTGAGGTAGATTGGCTCGTACCTTTCAACAGTTATCAAGGTACCATATCACATCCGCTTGGTTCCCTCAGAGCCCCAGCCCGAACTAAACCAAACCGCCCTAGGCCGCGAAGCACAAATTGTCCGGGAGACATAAGAATCAGTGCGATGCTGATGACGGCGTCGAAGGCATTTAGTGCCGGTAGCTTCCAAGGCCATGAGATCAGCCTCTATTCGGTAGAAGTTAGAAGGGCTTAAACGGTAGCATTTCGGTGTTGAAGACGGTGGCTCTTGTGGCGGGGCCGTGGGTTCGGGGTGAAAGCCGGAATGGTGTGTTGAGGCAACTTACACCAAAAACTCTGATGCTGTGCGAAGTAGTATCACCGCAACCACGAGTAAACTAGGGGTCTGAAAAACAAGCGAGGCTATGGTATATTGTAACATGTGGGAATGAAACAAGTGATGCTTGTGCTAATTCTTCAGGCCCTGTGTGAAATACTAGTTCCATGTTTTATGCTCCTTCTGCTGTTTTGTACTGTGATTGCCACTTTGCTGATTTTGTCATTTCGTTTTCACTTGTCGCCCTCTGCTGGCCGCTGCTATTTATAAAGTCAATGTTTTGTTCAGAGTTCAGGGTTGAGGTTTACTGCTGCTGTTGCTTTTGCCTTTGGTCTTGCGAGCACCCTGCTGCTGTCGCCATAACTGTCACTGCTGCGTCTGCGCCTCTTGCTGCAGCGCTGCGCTTCCGGTTGAATCTGTATTCCGTGCATCCCTAATTCAGCCCGACTTCATCTGATCATGATCTTCACTGGGGTCCTCACGCGCCACCAGCACAGATGAAAGCAAGCTGGCTTCACAAGGTTGAAAATTATACAGCAACCTTCCAATACATGCTGCAATGCATTAACGCTTCCAAAAACAAACATATTTATGTACAACAGTACAATGTCTTAAATTGTACGTTTGAAGGTTGACGGGGCTTGTTCAACCGATTCGATTGAGACACGACGAGCTCGGTCTCCGTCTTAAGGGTGTCGAGTCTATAGTTTATAGGTTTCATGATTTCGGGTTTCATAGTTTAGGGTTTCTTGACACGCCCGGACAAAGCCAGGCAACTTCGATAGATGGAAAGCATCCGTATCATACCCAAGTTTCAACACTCACACTCGGACCTGCCTGGGCGAGGGTACCTGGTCATACCCAAGTTTAGGGTTTAGGGTTTAAGCAGGGGATGTTGATTAGAGGCATCTGGAGTGAAGCGCTGCTTCGGGTATAGGTCGGTTAGGGGTTCGAGTGCCTGTGCTGGAAGCGGGGGAATTCCTCGAGAGAAAACCCAAACCCCAGCCTTGACCTACTTGTCTCTTTTTTGGCCTGAATAAAACTCTAACCTTGACGCAGCTCTTCTTTGGTAATGTAGGAATGGTATTGCGAAGCTGCCCAACCTTCCTGGGGCAGGTACGTTATCAAAGGCGGACAGACTACCACGGTCAGCACATGTTTTGATTTACTGCCCAGAAGCTGCACCACCATGTAGGTCAGCATGACGGACACAATGAGCAGCATCTTCCGGCATGGACACAGCACGACAAAGAAGCTTGGGCCAGGGGTTTTACGTTTCAGGACATTGGGTCAGCATTTAGGGCGAGGTGTGCGACTTGGGGAACCAACCGCCTGAAGGTGCTGCATTACAGAAGGAAGGTTCCCACGACACCCCGAAGCGGCCGTCCCGAGCCCTGAACTGAATAAGCCCGAAACCCTTGCAACCCCTAAACCCTGAACGCCTGCGATTTGGGGCTCTGGGCTTATGGTTCCAAGGAGGAACCGGGGGCTACCTTAAACCCCAAAGCCCGATGCCCTTACACTTGGATGGCCCGAGGCACCCGACAGATCGCCCAAGCAAAAGAATCGAAAGTCCGGACCCTGAAGCCTTGGGTTAACCCTAAACCCTGAACCCGAAACCGTAAATTGAGGGCTTACCTAACAGTACCGAGCCCCTCTGCCGTGTAAGGAACGTTCACGTGATCATTGACACAAAAACCCTATTGTTCGCCTGGACGTAGGGGCTGTCGCCCGCCATAACGATGGAGAGCGAGAGCATGAGGCCTCGCGGCAGCCTGGAGTGGAGGGTTCACCTAACAGGCGCTGAATCCTAAACCCTAAACCCCAACCCGTATACTGTTAGCGGCTTAGAGTGTGCTGAAGGGTCTTTCGGTTTTTTATAATCAAGAGATTTCAATGCAGGCTTGGCCGAGCCAAAGTCTGCCTGGCTACCTTTTAGGGTTCTGGATTTCAGAAATGCATTCTAGCGGCATGAATGTCCCAAACCACCAAATATCGGTGCGGAAGCGGAAGAGAAGGAACCGCGTCGCTGCCAGAAACCTCGGCCGCCACTCGGAGAGCTCTTCGAGGTGGAAGAGAACTCACCAAAAAAAAAAGTGAGGAGCACCTCTTACCTGATGAGGTTCTTCGGCTCCCTCGCTTATCAATGCGCATAGCCAGCCTTTGTCACACAACAGTCATAATGTGCCTGTTGCATAGACGGCCGCGGCACCTCCTCCTCATCTTCATGTCTATGAGTAGTGATTTTCGTCCCGGCTCGTGAATCTCCATTCCATATGTCACTAGCATTATGATACAGTCGCCAATCTTCTGTTATACTAGGTGTAAGCATGCTTGTAACTACGGGACCACGGAACTAGTGGTACTAGGAGTAGCAGCAGTGGTACCAATATCAGGACTAGTAATGTAGTAGTAGTAGTAGTAGTCGTAGTCGTCGTCGTCGTCGTGGTCGTGGTCGTGGTCGTCGCCGTCGTCATCGTCCTCGTCGTCGTGGCCTTCTGGCTAGACTGTTTATGACAGCGCTGACGACTAGCTGCGGAAGACATTCTTGTTATGACTCGTGTGAAAACCCACTATGCTAAACCCATTTTACCCAGCATCGACAAGCCTTTCCAACAGTAGCACTCACCATTTCCACTCAGTAGCCAGACATTCCCGGAGGCTGCTTTCCGCGGTGCCACAACTGTGGCCCAAATGGCCATAGCATAGAAGATGATCCTGAGAGCTCGCCATGTGCTCGCCCTAAATTCTTGCGGCCAAACCTCGAAGTGCAGTCCTACAAGGAACCAGCACCCGCCAACAAGTCTAAACCCTAAAAAGCCTACAGCCGCAGCCCTCCCCGCTTAAACCCCAAAGATCTCAATCCTAACCCCTAAATTGCCGAACCCGGAAAACCGCACAATGACACACGAACCAGGCATCATTCCAGCAAGGAGAAGGATTCCGATAAGGAACCTGGAGTGGGTCCGGAGAGCTTCAAGGTCCGGAGACCTTCGAGGGGATTTAGGGATTTTAAGGCTTCTTGAAAAAGGTTCCCTTGAAAGGAACCCTTATGGGGGTTGATAGCTTACAGCACAGGATTTTGAAGGTTGGAGGTTTTTCCATTGGAGCCGAATAGGTCGTCATAAGTATCCCTGCCTGGTTCTTACAAAACCCCAGGCCCTCACCCTTAAACGCTTCCACTAGCGGCTTAGGGATCTTAGAACGGGGATCTGTTGGATCTCCCTAAGGGCTCCAGTTACCTAAATAGTGGGTTACAAACCATATATTATGTACCCCAGTAACTACTACGTATCTGGAGCCCTCGGGTCTGTTACGAGGAGTCTACTCTCGAGTAGTCCCAGATCCGTGGCTTTCCAAAAATGGCGGCTGCTGAACCCTGGACCCCGGAAAAGCTACATGTTTGGGGTGTGTTACGATGTCCATAGGAAGGGTCCGCAAAAAGGTAAGTTACTTGGGGGTTAAGGTAGGCATAGGGGTTTGGGGCGAGCTTGCAAGCTAAGCGGGGTTTGCACCTTCAATCACGAGCTCCCGGCTATGAGGTCAGTAAGAAAACGGAGTCCTTTCGGGCTTACGGGGGCTTGTGGATTAGGAACCCAGAGACCAGGCTCCCCAGTCAGAATGGTCTTTCAATGCTGATACGGCTCCTTGAATTTAGGGTTTGGGGTGTAGAGTTTAGGGTTGAAGGAGCCTCCCTTGAATAAGCTTTCCTTCTCATAGAACTTTGGAGATTACGCTTTGGGACGATTGGAACTTCCGGCCGCATATGGCTATTCACTATTGCTTCGGGATCTCTTAGTATCAAAATCCCGCAACGCTGGTCTGTTTATGTCGCCCCTGCACTAGCTGCGGGATGTGACGTTGAGAGTTACCACGCGGTGGGCCGGTGGCCACAAATCATAATATACATGATGACAAGAAAAGCATAAAGCAAACAGTACTAGTCTAATTAAGTCTTTGTCCATGAAAATATGCGCATTACCGATTCTAGCCATTTTGCAGAGAGCGGCATGGGCGTGTGCTCTTCACTCTCGAAGCAGAAGATGCCATTGTGCTCAAGCCTGGTGTGTCGTGCAAGCACACGGAAGCACTAACACGAAACTTCGTTTTGCGTACAGGAACTATGCAACAAACAAGAACATGTCCTTCAACGGCTGCCAGGAAGCATGCCGCTCTTTCCATTGGGGTGGGTGTAGCACACCATGGGCGACAAGGCGATCTTGCTGTAGATCGTGAAGCTCACCTGCCCAAGGTGACGGGAAGGGTGCCAATCCGGCGCTATGCGGCTACTGCGGTCGTGATGTCGATGAATGTCGCCATTCACTATTCACTAGTCTTTCTATTGTGCTGCTTGGTCGTTAGATGTTGTACTTACCGTGTCTCAACCGGCCAGCTCGATCCTGTTCAACTTTCAAGAAACAACTTTTCAGCGATCCAAACGAGTAGCTGTGCAACGCGATGGTGAGGCTTAGACCGAGACTTCCGCCAGCTCTTTGCTGCGAGGGGCAAACGAGGTTTGGCTTCGTGGCTTTCAAGTCTTGGGTTTGAACCGCAATCGGCCTGCATAAACTGGCCCATGGTCGACACGAGCTTGCCGCTCTCGAAACGCCACGAAGGCGATGGCAGCAGCTTGCTCAAGAAGAAGCAAATCAGCCTGTCTTCACAATTGTACGTACAGTGCCTCTTTTCACCCATGTAATTACACAAGTCGTGCTTTTGATATGCAGGCAGCAAGTCCATGTGCATGTAACAGTTCGAACCAGCACGCCTCTTAGTTTCGCGTGCTTTACGTCACTATGACAACTGCTAAGGCATGACCTTGTTCATCTGTATTGCCCCAGGATCTACTCGTGTCCAAACGGTCCCCCTAATCCCGAACAGTGATCCTCACTTTCCACTCTTGCTGCAATTTCTCTGTGGGTTCTGTCTGGTTGTTTAGCTTCATGTGTTCTTTCTTGCCTGGTTGCGCTGCATTTTCCTGCAATCGTTCCTGCCTGCACGCAAGGAGCTGTACCCGTGCCTCGCAAGCCCACACAACCGAAAAGTTGACCCCACGGAAGAAGCAACACACATCATTTTCATTCTGAGCACATCATCCTTCTATAAGTCTAGTTAATACTACTCGGCTATTGTTTTGTATGTAGATTGCTTATCGTCAACGACATGGTTATCGTCGTTGTTATTAACTTTTTTTGCTGTTGTTACCACGAATGTTACTATGACTCATTTTCGCATCTAAACCGACCCCAGGATACAACCGACCTCAGACCTGGCTTCGGGTTTTGGCTTTGCAATGGACTCAGCGGCCTGGATTCGGGTTTCGGGTACTTTATATATAGTTTACCACACTTACAAAATGAAGGAATCCTATTCTAGCTGTTAAGGCTCCGATATGCGCTTCGGACTTTACGCCCAGCGCAGAAGAAGGCTCCGATGTATAAAAGCCCACTCCCCAGACCCGGAAGAGCCAGATGTATCGAGCTGAGAAGCAGCCAGGCCAAGGCGCACGGCAACATGGCTGAGGTCATCATGTACCCGTAGACCGGTGAGCTTGAAACGCAATCGAACCCAACCGCCTGGCAAGTTCGGGGTTCATAGGGATTTAGCGGAGTTTGCTTGAGAGCGTTGAGTCCATGCCTGGGCTTGGGATCAGGACCCGGTCTTCACAAACGCAGGATGCTTCCCAACTCACTCAACGCCCCATATCCTGAACCCGAAACACCAAGCCATCAGCCTTAGATGTTGCAACCGTACTGTGCAGGACCCGGTGAGCTGAACATGCCCTACCCCTCAGGCAGCATGTACCGATATAGTATCTACGTTAGCGTAAAAGGCGTGCGTTCCTATATCTGTACTTGTGGTCCTAAGTATATACACTATTTAGGCACATGGAGCCTTTAGGTACCGAACCCAAGCCACAACAGCCGTTCAGCCAGTCCTGGCTTCAGGGTTTAGGGTTAGAGAGCGGAACACGAGTCGACGAAACCTCCTACATCGGAAGTAGCATGGGGCCGTCAGGGTCCGAATGATGCTAGAATTTGTTTCCGTTCGGTGGCGTGCCGGAAGTGAAACTGCTCTTAGGTTCGGAGGACAGGCTGCTGAGTTTGCAGGGCCCTTGATGCCAACAAAACCAGATTTGAGAGTGCTTCTACATATAATGATTAGAGGGTTTTAGTTTGTTACAGTGACTCGAAGCCCTATTTGCAACCGGGCTTGGGGACTAGCCAGGTCCTTGCACTGGCATAAAACCAAAGGCCAAAGGCCTGCCCACTACTGCCTGAACCTTAGAAACCCAAGGCCTTGCACCCAGTTCAACTGCCTTGATGCTACGCACCAATACTGTTGATGATATAAATCCTGCATTACCTTAAGGACCCCAAACTATGGGAATTACCTAAGGGTTCTTTCGATACGTTATTTTCCATATCGAAATATTTGTGGTACGACTTAATATAATTATGGTCGTTTTCTAATATCTGGCCGGATGGACACAAATGTGGCCGAAGCATGAGCCTCGCAGCTGGTTTGTTCGTTTTAGGGTGAATATCTGGGATTTCTCTAGGGGGTTGAAATATTTATTAGCAGCTGTTCGGTTTATGGGATTAAACTCCCTACACCCCTATGCTCACACACATTCGCACGCAAGAGTGCAGCACTATTTCGTCGCCAACGTGATTCCAGTCATCCTCTACGGTTCTGCACTAGCCAGGACCTCGGCCATCAGTTTAGGTCGTAGTGAATCTTCCAGATTCTTCGATAGTGCATGAGCGACTTCTGGATTGTGCGGATGGTTTTTCCAGCTGCCGAGCACCGGCGGCTTATCCTGCTTATTCTGCCGATATAGTCCTCGTCGCTCCATGTTGCGAAGCCTAGCTCGATCGATCTAGGCCCCAAAGCTTGAAGTGGTTTCAGTATTGAGCTTCAGAGTTAGAAATGCTTATAAGATCGACAAGCCACAAAGGGGGTTGATGATGTCACTGGCCCCGGTGTCGAACTGCTCTTGCAGGCCCCAGCTAAGCTGCATAATCAGTCTCGGGACAACCGAGCCCATGAGCCTACAAAGACCGATTCCAAACATAAGCCTATTGAGTTGAAACGTTCTATGCCCAAATCAAGCAAGCTTCACAAGCTCTGACTGCATATGCAGCTTAGGACGCATTCGGAACAGTGCCCAGCGCTTTCGGGCACAGCTGCAAGCAAGTCGTGCATAGCCATCCTTATTGGCATAAGAATACTTGTGCCTAGCTAGCCCAAGCACCAAACCCGAAGACCACGAGACCCTATAGTATAAGATATCTTTCTAGGTTCCATCAGTGGCTGCACCCATTCATGCAAAAGCCCAACTTAGAAGCGTACGGGTCAGGGTTTGAAAACCGATTATATTAATAGATGTCCCTACAGCACCCATCTCATGTACCAAAAGCCATCATATCTCTGCTAACCAAGGCGGAGCTGCAAGCATTTTCCAGCCTGCTTCGATGGCCACACGAGCTTCGTCCCTTGTCAAAAAGATCCCAGCACGATACAGTATGCGATAATGCAAACCACAGGCTTGGTGACTCCATCGCAACAGCCGGAAGAGATCCAAGAACTGGGACCCCTGGGTGGTACACAATTGCAGAATTTGCATGCGCATTTACATATATCATCAGTAGAGCTAGCACATTTCAATCCTATGTAGGGTCCTATATAGGGTTCAGGGGAAACTGCTTCGAAGGTGCCATCGTTGTCTCATCCACGGAGTCGAGTAAAGATTGTATCCAAGCATTCATGAGGCCGCAATCATGGCCCTTGCCACACCCTGTCGGAAATTCAGCAAGCCTGCACATATGCATATCTAATTTAATATAAGGCCGAAGTACCTGCTCTTACCACCCTAATCTCTAAACACTGCAATAGTCACTACTTGGAGGCCCTTTTGACTTAGTAAGTAGGGTTAGTAAGGTGGGTTATGGGGATTATAAGAGGGTTTCTAGGGGATACTAAGTAGACTTACTAAGTCAAAAGGGCCTCCAAGTAAACCNNTAGCCCCAATAAATGCCGAAGAGCGATGACACCTTCAGGGTCTGCTTGCTGAAAAATCTTATGGATGAGGTTTTCCCACGGTTGCAGCAGTATTCTTGGAAAAGCTCAAAGCCATGGTCCAGTGCTGCTTGCAGTGATCGGCCACGCAATATTTTCATCCTAACCAGTAGGACCAGTGAACTAGCACAGAAATCCTTGCCCCATCCTTGGATGGCGTACGTATGCGCCACATCGACCATTATTGTACAAGGGCTGTCTGCAATCGTAGGAAGACTTCGGAGGGCAGCAGCGGGTTCATCCTGCTTGAACGGATTCTCTGGGGCATCTTCGTG